CTATTGGGTCCCCACGAGTCCGAGGCCACCAACCAGAGATTCTTGCCGGATAAAGCTGTCGACACAGGATTAGTGCTTTCCCTTATATCAACCATTTGAAGAAAATTGGATATACAGAGTAGGGAGGCTATAGGTCGCGAGTGTTGCGCACATGCGAGATGGCTAATTAGAAAACAGGATATTCCCCCATTATATTTGCAAGGCACCAAAAATGGCATTAATTATTTGGATATGACCCAGCATTTCACGGCTAGTCCCACACCTGATGAAGTGACTCATCCCATATAATGCTTACTTTGGAATCTAATCTTCTATAATGTGGGTTGTGACCATTTTATTTGTCTCCATTTATATTCTGTCGTGTCTATGCGCTATGGATGGGCCTAGCCACAAAGATTGTAAGATGTACAATCCCTCTGCATCTCTTTTATTGGCTTAACCTCAACTCATTACAGGATAATAGCTTGACACATATTCGAGTGCAAAAGTTCATTCGTAATGAGTGTGTTTCTAATGAGCAAAGTTCAGCACATTCACCGTCGAGCGACCTAGATTCTCTAGGAAAACCCGATGCTCTTCGCCCCGAGAGTCGCCCAAGTAAGTCTGGAATTAAATTGAAACAAATCATATTTAAGTATCCTCGAGAACCAACTACACTGTTATGGAGTACTTGGAGAATAACAAGCTCAAAAAATGGTCGTATGGCGGCGTTACCTAACAGTATTAATTCGTCTCTACATACTCGATGTTTTCTTCCTGTGGAAAATGAGTCACATACAAAGTATGCGAATACTAGAGGGCTCTCGAACTACATCGTTCTTTTCAAGAGTATAATGAATATTAAAATATCGTTATAAAGCACCATGTCTACACAATTTTCTGATGAGAGGAGGGCTATTCGCACTTTCACCGTGACTGGGTGATTTTTATGGCAACTTATATCTGCCTCTCCGCGGGGGAGCTCGATTATTATTGCACCGTCAAAAGACCAACACCACGTACTAGGGGTGCAAATATTCATTATCAAGAGTCTGTTCCGAAGACTTTGGATTGCGCGACAGCCCTCATCTCAAACAAATCTGTGTGGTGTTTTACACGGCGAGAGCTCGTGATTCTCTCATCCATCTCCTCGCTGCGAGAACGACTGTCAGTAAAGCGGAACCCATAAGAGTGGTGATTGCCTTAAAGTGCGCAGCTCGGACGTTAGGGGCTACCAGAATCTCCTTTATAGTTCAAGTTCGTGAGGGATGCATGGCCTTACGCCTTTATTCCACCGAGTTTTATTGACGCTTGGCACTTTTTGGATGTGGAAATGCTCGTTGAAAATAGACCTCTCATTATGCGGCCGTGAGGAGAAAAATACGCTCATAGAGGAATTGGTAACGTCAAAAACAACTAAGCTATCGCATGATTGACAGTATCGGGAATGCGAGAGCTGAAATCCGTCCGCCGTATCCGTCCGTTCATGCAGAGGAATGATCAAACACCTCTACAAAACAAGAGCTAAGGATGTGGTAGGAGGAGTTGGATGAGGGTGAGGAAAGTAGAAGAACGAATCTATCTCAAATAATGAGCACGTCAGAACATAGTTGGCGCCGGATTGACATGGCCTACACCTCGGGTTATTTGAGCGAGTAGCTATGATAAACGAATCCTTCCCACACTGTGGCACTCAATCTCGGCACGACTATAGTTGGCGACCCTCGAAAAATTGTATTCAAAAGTAAATACTGGAATTAGGTCACTCACTCGCCCGAGAAAAACTGGAATAGGAGGGCACTAAACTAGAAAAGAGACATTTCCGTCTTTATTCTCTATAGTGAGAAAATTCCTAGGGTACTCAAGGAAATGGCCTAAAAAAGCATATTCTCCTCCTACTTCGGATCTTTAATTGCATAGATGTATGCGCAAGAGGTGGTCTAATGTAGAAGGGTCACGGAATTTAGGGTGTGTACCTGTGGATGCTTGAGGAGCTAAGGGATGTCCGCACCTCTTAATATGCGTAAGCAGTTTAATACAATTAAATTAGTGCTTCGCGAGCCAGAAATTAGTGTTCTTCTCTTCTCGGGTTGGCGAAAACGATGGAGAGAAAGGATGTGGCCACCTTGCAAGATATGACACGGATGCTAAATGGTTGAGGCAGCGAGCGTGCAGAACGATATATTATTAAATTACCACGTTTTGTCATTCCTAACATAGGAATCCTTTTTTGGATGGTATTGTAAAATATTGTAGAGGGATAAGTACGGGCAGTGTATTTGGTTGTGCGGTTTTATCTTGATTTATGATGTTTTCAGGATTGGTGGTACAGAGAATGGACAAGATTAAGGACTTACTTATCACCACAAGAAGTCTTTCATGTGTAGGATCTAGCGCGAGAAACTATTAAGTATACATGATGGTTGTATGAGTCACTGACCAGATTTGAATTTAATATGTTGGAAAACAACATTTATAAATCTAGAATACTTCTCGAAGAAGTTTGCTGAATTTTGTACGCAAGCTGTCGCTGGTTTGCGGAACAGGGAGGAATCTGGTAAACTAGGTTCTGTGAGTATCTAAAGCTAAAGTAATATATTAAAAATAGGACGTCAACAGATCCTTAGAGGTTTTTAACAAAATTATAAACAGTTGGCAACGCACTATGCAAGAAGGTCACATAAAGAGGGTCGCAATCGAGCTATACCCAGCCCTGCAAGTTATTAAATGTGGTCAAATATATGCATACGCTATGTCATTCACATTTAATATAGTGTCGTCTCATCACGCTGTATACCAAATGGAATGATTATCCTGAGGAGTTAGAGTAGGGTACCCTGTGATAGAGTGAGTATGGTAGAGCTACATCACATCCTAATTCGTGAGCATTTTACTGTGTGCGAATGTGGATTATGTCTGTATCTTTTCAAACAAATATGCAAAAGAAGTGGGAGATATCGAAAATTAAGTGAAATCGCCAGCGCTGTCATATTTTCTTGTCTAGTGCTCTATTCATTTACTCATATTCTTAAGGTGGTTAGTTGATTACTTTGATTTGCTATTTTTGTCCTTTGAGGTATAGTCCTGCCTGTTGGGTAATCTTTTATCAAAGAGGCAAAGATATTTGCACAAGAGGTACAAATATGAGAGTGATGCGTCCTCTCAGGCCAAAGGCGTTTGTTGACTATTTGGTATAGTTTGTTGAGCACAGTACGGGAAAGACGATGAGACTTGTCTGTCTCTGTGTGGCTGCGTTTTGCAGATTTCATAAAATTTTGCTTGTGAAGAGAGTGTTCAAATGGTAGAGTATCTGGTAAAATACGGTGGTGAGAAGTAACACAATGAATATGTGTAGTAGCCTGAACACGACACATATATCTAATACTCTAAGAGCTCGATGTCGATCACCGCGCACAATGCAGTCGCGCCAAATCTATGTTGTTGCACAAACAGAAGTCTGCGGCGTAACACCACGTGATCCGGAGAGTCAGTGTGGTGAACTTCGCAGGATTTTGGCAAGACAATAGATACATATGACACCAGCAAGATGTAATTGTAAGCAGAGTGGAATAAACACCAACAAAGTTAATGGGGGTCTACTTTTTCCACGCGAGTGCATTCATATACGAAGAAAACGGTTTGAGGGCACGTAGAGAGCTGTCTAACATTTGACTAGTATGAGAGCCATTGTGTGAGCAGGCGCGACTTCTTGGGTTCACCAAGAACGGAGCTTGATGAGGGAAGACTTTACAGGAAATGCTAGACCTCTTATCCTAATTTGTGTAAGCGTGAGTGAAAGAACGTGGTTATGTATAGTATATAAATAAAGGAGCCGTGCTCCTCCAACTCTTGAGTAACATAATCAAGGCATGTGGGCCACTCCTGTACTCTATTTTTTACATAATTAACATTTGATTCCTTGAATCTATATTTTGCTATAGATGCGATGAGTCAAGGAGTTAAAATCAATCACGAAGCCCTCAAGCTCACCAGGTAAAATATGTGTATAAAGGCAAGTGCGACTAAACAAATTATCACAAAATGGAACAAAAAGTTATGATATATTATCAGCACCAACTAAGTCAAGTCATCATATGTTGTGCATCAAAGATTTCATTTCAGTTATAGAAGAGTAAAAGTCTATTAGAAAGAACGGTAGAATATTACAGGAACACCTCACACACTCATGAATACTACGTTAGTGTCCTCTCGATCGTTGCTAGGGCGCTAAATGTATTTTCATGTATTCACAGCTTTATACTAAGCATCTATGTTAGGCTGCTGCCATGTATATGTTTAGAAGTGAATGGTTAAAATTTTGTGGATTGCACAGTTTTGCATAAAGCTTGTTGTAGTATTTGTGACAGTATGGCTGCTAATGAGCCAATAAAAACGTGCATTTGGTTGTTGCAAATTAGGCATTTAGGACCCTTTCATATTGTCTTCTCACTCTTTATATATGGGCAATAGGTAAAATATTTATAGGTCAACTTGATTATGGTGTATTATGGTGAGTGGTGTTGATGTGTTGTTATAAACGCATACGAGCAGATCATCTTAGACCTGTAGGTTCCTATTTGTAAGCAATGGCCAGATATTATATTACACAAATGGTAATTGTATAGGTAAAGCTTTAATGTTGGAAGTACATTTAGGGGACTATGATGAATCGCGATCATCACTTTATCCTGTTTCTACACTTGGAGGACTCACCTCATATCTTAATTAAAAATACACTGGTATATCAACAGTCAAAAGGATATTTCCTACATGAGCAAAGGGAAAAAAACAAGGAAACTTGCAGTAAATGCAGCGAGAATATTCAAATAAATGTTGATAAACATATTCAAATTTTAGCCTTTGTTTTATAATGTTAGATTGCAAATAGGCTAGGAATGAATTTTTTAACTAATTTGATCACACTGTGTTATTTCTAATTTTGTAATATTTACAGGACATGAGAATCAACGCGACCATGTGATATCCTCTCTCACAATGTCGGAGCATAGTACCCGACTGACAGAATACTAAAATCACAAGATGAGAAGCTCAACACCTATGGCAGTATAATCGGAGATGCACTTGCTCCCAAGGTAGCTTCCTTTTCGTCAAGAGGACCAAGCCTTTCAAGCCCCGGAATTCTGAAACCTGACATCATTGGACCCGGCGTTGACATCCTAGCAGCATGGCCTGAATCAGTAGACAATGCCACACTTCCTAATCCTAAGGCAACATTTAACATAATTTCTGGTACCTCAATGGCAACTCCTCACCTAAGTGGCATTGCAGCTTTGATCAAGAAATCACACCCTGACTGGTCTCCAGCTGCAATCAAATCTGCCATCATGACAACCGCTGATGTACTAAATCTTGCAGGCACACCGATCGTGGATCAAGATCTTACACCCGCGGATGTTTTCGCAATTGGTGGAGGCCATGTCAACCCTGCAAAGGCAAATGATCCGGGGCTTATCTTCGACATAAAACCTGAGGATTACTTTCCTTACTTGTGTGGATTGAATTACAATGAGACAGCAATAAAGATCATCACACAACAAACAGTGAAATGCTCTGAAGTCGGGGTCATACTAGAAGCACAGCTCAATTACCCTTCATTTTCTATTAAAGCAGGCCCGAACCAGACTCAGTCTCAGTATTATACACGGACTGCGAAGAACGTCGGCCCCGCTACGTCAACTTACAACTTGGATCTTTTAGTACCACATCAAATGGGAATGAGTGTGAATCCTCAGGTGCTTACATTCACAGAGGTTAACCAGGAGATTACATACCATGTCGAATTTATCGCAGAAGATGGTGCTGGGAAGGATGGCGTTCCATACGGTCAAGGATACTTGAGATGGTTTTCTGATAAGCATAATGTTACTACCCCTATAGCTGTCATCTTTGACACCCCGCAAGATTAAGATTGTTGCTTTAGATGCTATCAGCAGTCATCCTAAAAAAAGAACGTGCCTCGTCCAATTAAAACAAATGTTCATCCATAATGCATTATGAAATAAAACATGGCGTTTATCCGTGGTTGTTGTTGTTGTTCTTCTTATTATTATTACTACTGGTCGTATGGCCGCACATTCGTGTGTAATTAATTTTGTCTATTATTTGTTATGAAGATATTTATGTCACTTTGTTAAAGAAAAAAAAAGGGTAAATCGCCAAAATGGTCCCTGAGATTTGCATAACTCATCACTTTGGTCCCTGAGATTGCAAATCGATAAAAGTGATCCCTGAGATTGTCCACCATCCATCATTTTGGTCCTTCCATTAAAAACTTCATTAAGTATCCCGGAGCTCTTAGCCAGAAGTTTGGGCAATTTTCAAAGCTTCGTAACTCAATCGTTTCTTAACCAATTTCAACCCATAATATATCAAAATGAAGATAGGAAAGTGTAGAATAAGATTATACCTATTTCAAAGCCCAATGGTTGCCAGAGATGGCCAGAAAATAGCCTCAAAGCTGACTGGTCCGAGTTAAAACTTGAAAACTCACCGGAAACTGGGTTAACTTTAAACGTTCATAACTTCTTCAATACTCAACGAAATCAAGTGATTCAAAAACAAAAATCATACTTCTCGACGAGCCTAAGAGAATGGTACCTTTTTTTACTGCTAACTAGCCGTGTTTTTGCCAGAAAATGGCTCGAAAGTGGCTAACTCGAGACCAAGACAGCCACTTTTGAGCCGTTTTCCGGCCAAACCACAGTGAGTTAGCCCTATATTCTATCATGACTACTGACTTTTACTACTTGCAAATATTTACTTAACTCAATCATGACTACTGACTTTTACTACTTGCAAATATAAGTTCATAACGATTGGGTGAAATTCCCGTATATTCTAGTATCAAATCCCTGCATGCAAACTAAGTGTGCACCCTTAATAAACATACAAGAATAAGTTTTCAATAAAGCAGATAAGTAACTCACATTCATGTTTTATGAAACAATAACTGGATGTAATCAATGTATATAAAACATATGATCATGGCTTCAAATTCACCTCTAGCTAAAGAGAAACTTAGTTACACATGTTCATCATAACTAAAAAGCAATCTAAAATAAACATTGAAACTTAAAACAAAGATAGAAAGAACTCTGAAAATTCTAGCAACTTCAATGGATGAATGGTAGGCATGGCACCCCCTAAATCGCTGCAGGAATTTCATATATATAGGGGGAAACGGATGAATCCAGGAGGGAAAGGGTTTTGGCATTTTGAATTATTTTAGGACTCTAAAAATCAGGTAGAAAGTGTTGGAATGTGATTACGATTCCTTCTTGCAGCTGGAGATAAGATAAGATAAGATTATGTTGGATAAGATAGAATAAAAGATAAGATTATGTTGGATAAGATAGAATAAGATAAGATAAGATAGGATAGGATAAGATAATGTTCCTCCCCAACTAGGATTCCTCTTTCTTGTGTAACTCCTTGTCTTCCAAGCCTCAACTTTAATTTCTCCAGATTTTTGCACATATCTAGCACCAATTAAACACCAAAACCATCCTGCCCATATGCTATCCATGCATGTTATCCAATCCAAGTCCAAAACTGCTCCAAATTGCTCCATTTGGCTATTTATTGTCATCTTTACCAACTAGACCTAAAATAATACAAAAATAACTTAAATTACCAAAACAAATGGAAATTAACTAAGTAAATGGAAGGAAATAAGATAACAAAGTTGCATAAATATGCTCCTATCAAAAATTTAAAAAAACGGAAATAAAATTAGGCGTGGAAGTTTTCTTTCCCCCCACCCTGGAGGGGTTTGAAGTGGGAGATGTGGGAAAAAAATAACCTTCTTTATTTAAAATTTGCTGTCGTCTATTTTATCTGACAAGGAGAGAGAGGGTCGGCGGCAAGGAGAAGAGAGAAAAGAGGTGTTTGTAGAATTGTAGGGGAATGTGTGTGTTGTTATCCCTCCTACATTGTGCCTTTATTTATTGTAGTAAAAGGAGAGAAGATATTCCTTCTTCCCTAAGGAATACAAGATTCAATAGGAAAGGATAACTAGAATCAAATCAAATCTAGGATTTAGACAATCACACTTAAACTAGGAATGTTTACAACACTCCCCCTTGAGTATGTAAATACTCAAGGTAGATTTAGCATCATGCAGAAGTTGAGGAATTCGACTCATCGGCACTGATTCTAAGGAACAACACTTATTCTCAATAAGGCAGGAACTTGCATAAGTAGTAAGTCTCACTAAAAAAACCCTAAGGCTATGGCAAAAACCCGAGGAGGGACAAAATCCATAGTCTAAGGAAAAATGTGTGGGAAATGCAAAGTTAAAAGAAACATCTACGGGATGTCATCAGGGATATGACCAGCCCAAACTTGGTGCCTCGTTAAACCTAGTTAGGTAGCAAAAATCCAGTAGGAAAAATGCTCCTAATTGTAGGAAAAAAAAGTACATTAAGATCAAGCAGGTATCTTCAGGATACTCCTCCTGAGTTTGACATAGTTCCAAAGAGAAATAGCAAAGTTACAACTCAAAAAGTTTAGGCATACCAATTCCATGAACAAGCTTCTGAAACATCGCCTTCGGCAGTGATTTGGTGAAGAGGTCGGCCAGATTGTCTTGTGAATGGATTTGCGTGACTTCAATCTTTTGATGCTCTTGTTGTTGATGCGAAAAGAAAAACTTCGGCACAATGTGCTTGGTGTTGTCTCATTTGATGTAACCTTTCTTGAATTGTTCAATGCATGCATCATTGTCTTCAAATATCATTGTCGGGACCTCAACGGCAGGATAAAGATCGTAGGAGTTTCGAATATGGCCCATTACTGTTCTCTACCAAAAGCATTCTCGAGTTGCTTCATGTAAAGCGAGAATTTCAACATGGTTAGATGAAGTGGCAACTAAGGTCTGTTTAGTTGACCTTCAAGAGATTGTGGTGCCTTCAACGGTAAAGATATAACCCGTTTGAGAACGTGCCTTGTGCGGATCAGACAAGTATCTTGCGTCAGCATAACCAACAAGGCGAGAATCAACTCGAGGACCATAGGGTGCGGCATCATTCAAGGATTCATAGGGATAGAACAAGCCCAAATCCATAGTACCCTTAAGGTAACGGAAGATGTCTTTTACGCCAGTCCAGTGTCTGCATGTAGGTGCACTACTGCATCTTGCCCCAAAAGATTAACAACAAAGGAGATGTCGGGTCTAATGCATTTAGTTAAGTACAATAAAGCACCTATTGCACTTAGATAAGGAACTTTAGGCTCCAAAATCTCTTCATCATCCTCCTTTGGATGGAAGGGATCTCGTTTTGCATCTAGCGATCAAACGACCATATGAATACTCGAAGGCTTCACTTTATCTTCATTAAAATGGTGCAACGCCTTCTTGGTGTAGTTCGATTGATGTACTAGAATTCCATCCTAACAATGCTCTATCTCAAGACCGAGATAGTATCGAGTCTTACCTAGATCTTTCATCACAAATTCTGACTTCAGGTACGCGGCAGTTCTCGCGAGCTTTTCAGGAGTTTCGATGAGGTTATACTGCAACAATCGCAAATCTGGAATGTGACTTCTTAATGAACACACCAGGGCATAGTTCTTTGTTCACATATCCCTGACTAGTCAAATACTGACTTAGACGGTTATACCATATTTTTTCGGATTGTTTAAAACCGTAGAGTAAACGCCTTAGCCAAATTGAGAGCGTGTTCCGGGGTTTGGAAATATTTGAACCAGTCAATGTTAGTCTTTCGAGAACTTTCATATAAATTTTCGTATCAAGATCTCCATAGAGATACGCTGTTACTACGTCCATTAGCTGCATATCTAGTTTTTCGGAAACTACCAAACTGATAAGGTAGCGAAAAGTAATCACATCCATAACGGGTGAGTAAGTTTCGTCATAGTCAATCCTGGGGCGTTGTGAGAAGCCTTGTGCAACAAGATGAGCTTTGTAACGCACAATTTTGTTCTTCTCATTATGCTTCTGAACAAAAACCCACTTGTAGTCAACGAGCTTCACATGTGGAGGAGTAGGAGCTACAAGTCCAAACACCTTACTTTTCACAAGCGAATCGAGTTTGACTTGGATTGCTTGTTTCCAGTTTGACCAATCAGTTCTACATCGGCATTCATCAAAGAAACGCGGTTCAATGTCATCGCTCAACATGATCTCAGTAGCTACTGCAAATGTTAATGCATCATCGACAATCATCTCATTTCTATGCCACACATCATCTAAGCTAGCATAATAGACCGAAATCTCACGATTCTCAGGAGAATGATTCATCTCTTCAAGGACGCTTCCATAATCTAGAATTTCCTTATGAGTTAGGTAGAATGAGTAAGCGATAGTCGAATTCACAGTAGGCTCTTCAGGACCTTGTGTCATGGTTTTCCTCTTTCAGGGGTGTGAATCCTTTGAACCAAGGGGTCTGCCAAGCTTTTGTGTAGGGGCAGATGATTGGCTAGCCACTAATGTACTTGGATCACCAAAATTGGCATCCCGGGCATCCAGGAGGGAAATCCGTCGTACATTTGGAACATCCATCTTTGCAAGCGTATTCGCAGCTGGAATATGTGATCTTGTCACATACGCTAGATCCGTGAAAGCATCTGGCATACTCTAACCTATGCTCTGGAGATCTAATATGCGCTGCACTTCAGTTTCAGATTGAGTGATGCAGGGATCTAAATGAAACAGAGTGGGAGTCGTCCATAATAATTCGCGTCGTTCTTCAGGAATGTTGACGTTCTTATCTCCTCCTAATGACGGGAATATTATCTCATATAAGTGACAATCCTCAGAACGAACGGTAAACAGATCGCATGTCAAAGGTTCTAAGTAACGAATAATCGAAGAAGAATCATATCCGACATAGATTCTCATCCTTCGCTGAGGCTCTATTTTTGTATGTAAAGGTGGCGAGATCGACACATATACCGCACAACCAAAAACGCACAGATGCGATATGTTGAGTTCGTATCCGGTAACCAACTAAATGGCACTAAATGGTTGTGACGTAATAGGCCTCATGCTGACCAATTTTGTTGCGTGCAATATTG